TCCTCCTCCTCCTCCTCCTCCTCCTCCTCTTCCTCCTCCTCTCTCCCGTCCTCTTCCCGTCATCCCTCCCTCCTCCTTCTCCTCCTCCTCCTCCTTTTCCTTTTCCCTCCATCCCACACTCCTCCATTATTTCCCCTCCTCATCTTCCTTCTCCTCCTCATTCTCCTGCTCCTTCCTCACGCTCCTCCTCCTCCTGCTCCTGATCCTGCTCCTCCTCCTCCTCCTGATCCTCCTGCTTCGCTTCGCACTCCCTCCCATGCCACGTTCGATCCACAGCTGCTCACGGGCACAGGGCAGGCCTCGCTCCAGGCCTCGGCATCATCCGAACTCCAGCCTCGATGCTAGTTACAATGCTAGACAGAACGAGGCCGGAACGCCTAACGGGAGGGGGAGGGGGCCAAGTGGAGCCACCCCCAGCGGAGGAGAGAGGGAGGGGAGGCAGAGGGGGGAGAGAAGAACCAGGGGCAACTCTACGAAAGGCCCCCCCCCGAGGGGCCCCCAGGATCCTGCACGCGGCCCCCGACAACGCCCCCCGGCACAAAGACCGGACCGTTACGCGAACCCTGGGAACCCCTCGCCCCCCGAATAGGCCCGAGTGGGCCAGGGCTATCAGCTACTTGCCCCCTCCCTTCAGTCGACGCGCTAGATCTCCCCTCGGTGCTTTGCCCAACTTGCGCTGGCCACCCCAGCCCCTGATGATGTGGGCGAGCACCATCACCACAACCACACACCGCAGACTGTCTCGTGCAAGTTTGATGCCCCCGACGCGCCCCTGAAGACCACGAGGTACCTGCAAAAAACCCTGAATGCAACACCGAGGAACTTCTTTCTGTGCAGCCAGATCGCTACCCCGCAGCTTTTGTTAGTATGCGGCCCCGGGCTCCATCCCCACTCAACGTTGTAGTGTTGTCCGATCGTCTTATACTGCTCAATGGGGACCCCCGAGGACCTCTGCTGTGTGCCTACGAGGCCTATGATATCCATGTTGCCGAGTTCATGGACAATGTCTTGACTGCGCAGTCTGTTCGCCGACATCGGGTTGAAGGCATATAGCGCCAAGCCACGGCGGGCCACCTGGAGCCCGGACGACGTCGAGCCATTGTCATTGGCATGTGGCTGAACATCGCTCTGCGGTGGCGCGGACGGGGGGCGGCCCCCCCACATTCGATACAGCGTGGCCACCTTGATCCTCCTGCTGCTCCTCCTGCTGCTCCTCCTCCCTCCCTCCCTCCCTCCTTCCCTCCTACTTCTGGGCTCCTGTTTTCAACGTGGTCCTGAGTCTGGGCTGTACGATCAAACACTCCCCGAAACAGCACCTATGAAACCATGCTCGACTTCGGCTCGAAGAGGCTGACCGGTTCTCTGCTCCGCAGCTCCAAGAGAAGCCGGCCAGGAAGACATTCCAGGGCAGCCATGCCCATGGATCCGTCCAGCGAAAGACGGGAGGTCCACTCCGATTGGTCTCAACAGCGCGCCCTCAACCTGGCCGACCTGGTGAAAATCTTCGAAGACTGAGACGCGGGAGAGTGGACCAAACCTGCCTCTGATCCAGATCGGGCCTCGCGTGGCCCGAGCCCTTCTGGTCTCGAGCCCCGAAGCCGTCTCTCCGGACCGCCTCCGGAGACGAAGAGGAGGACGAAGAGGAGGAGGAGGAGGAGGAGGAGGAAAAGAAGCGAGGAGGAGGAGGAGGAGGAGGAGGAGGAGGAGGAGGAGGAGGAGGAGGAGGAGGAGCCGCCACCGCCGCCGAGGAGGAGGAGGAGACGACGCGAGCGAGCAGGCGAGGCGCCCCTGCAGGCTCGCGCGACGAAGCGCGCTGCGAACTGCCCATTTGGGCAGACGGCGCGAGGCGAGCCCCCCGAAACCTCCTCCTCCCTCCTCCTCCTCCTCCTCCTCCCTCCTCCTCCTCCTCCTCCTCCTCCTCCTCCTCCTCCTCCTCCTCCTCCTCCTCTCTCCTCCTCCTCCTCATCCTCCTCCTCCTCCTCCTCCTCCTCCTCCTCCTCCTCCTCCTCCTCCTCCTCCTCCTCTCCGTCCTCCGCCTGCCTCCTCCTCTGCTGCGGCCAAGCGCGCACAGTGGAAAACACGAGAAGCGATGAGGGAGGGATGCTGCGATGCCGTTCTGGGCAGAGTGACTGCCCACCCAGGCGGAAGCAAGGAGAGGTGCACTCTTCACCCGGAGGCACGCGCTCCCGAGGAAGAGGAGGAGGAGTCCCCCAAGAAAGTCAGGGTGCATCAGCGATGCTGCAGTAAACCATCCCGTCTCATGTTCCCTCCTCCACATCCTCCTCCTCCTCCTCCTCCTCCTCCTCCTCCTCCACATCCCTACACGCTCCCTTTTCCACTAGAAGAAGCGCCCCATTTGAGAGACCAGCACCATATGGGCGCACAAAGCCCACGGGAGCCACAACAACATCGCGAATCAAAAGGTCTCTAGGCAAACCAGGAGCACCACACAAGCCGACCTGCAGTAGGCAAGCTCATGCTATGAACCGTGGGCTGAACAACTATTCGACGATGCAGTGTCGAAAGGAAGAGGAGAGGGAGGAAAAGGGAGATATGGGCCTGCCACTTGGGCGAAGATGCCGTTTTGAAAAGGGGGATGGCTTGCATCGCTCGGGCGCGTAATCATGGATGCGGAAGATGGTTAGAAAGTTCAACAACGTGGCCAGCGAGATCCCCCTTGCGATAAAAAGACCGCCGCCGTATCCGTGCAACTTCTGCAGAAGCTGACACTTCTGGTCATAAATATAATAGAAATGTCAAACGAGAACCCCTTCATGAAAATGAGCGGCCCTCAATGCTTACAGTGCTGCATGTGTTGAACTGTCGGGTATTCGAAATTCAGGACATATGGAGCGAGATCCCAATGTTGAAAAAGAACCGTCCACATCCTTGCAGCAGCTGATCACTGTAAAGACGAATACGTATGCACGACGTTACGGCGAGAGTCCAATTTTGCAATCGACACCTGCTCCATGCTCATAACTTTTGCAAAACTGAATGAGGATGTGAGCGGCGTTGAGAAGAGAGCGACATGTTGAAAAAGGAACCGCCCTGCATCCTTGTAGACGACGCAACAACTGCAAGACGACATTGCGCGACGCCAACACGAGAGCCCCGTGTTGAGAACGCCCCCCCCCTGTCCCCCCGAAGATGTCGCACATTCTCAGGGCGAGTGTGATCAGCGCCCGTCGCCGTCGACGACGACGACGACCGCCGCTCGGCCCCCTACCAAAGCTTCCACCCCCCGCTCGCCCCGCTCACCGCGGAGGAGGAGGAGGAGGAGGAGGAGGCGGAGGAGGAGGAGGAGGAGGGAGATCAGCGCTCGGGCGGGAGTTCCACTTTGAAAACGACCCCCCCCCCTTGATCCTCGTGACTGCTGCAAGCTTCTACAACGAGCGTGCGCGGCGATGCGGCGAGCGCCACGCTCTGGTAACGGTCCGCCCTCCGCCCGTACAACTGCTGCGAGAGCGCAGGACGAGGGCGCGCGGCGCTGCAGACGAGAGCCCAGGTTCAAGAGGCGACCTCGGCCCCTGAAGCTGGTGCAGGATGGTGCAGTCATCGGCCTGACCTAAGGAACGATACATAAGGAGCGAAGCCCCTTTTTGATCCCAAGGAGTGACGCATTGGGAGCGGTACACAACAAATGACGCACAAGGAACCGTAAACAACGCATGCAAACCTAAGGAACGACCGAGCCCCTTTTGGAAAAGTAGGTGTTCCTTATTCAAGCCGCTCACTGTAGGGCGAATGTGCGCGGCGCCAGGGTGGGAACCCCATCGTGAAAACGGCCCTCCCTCAATCCCGGTAACTGTTGCGCAAGCTTTTGAGGATGGTGTGCATGGCGCCATGGTGAGAGACGCGTGTCAAAAAGGAACGGCCCTCCATCTTTGAAGCTGTTC